TTCCCGTGTGGCATGGCCGTCTATTTCCCGTCGCTCCCCCCCAGCCTCACTGCAGTAAAGAGGAACGAAAGAGAAAAAGGAAAAAAAGGAAGCGCTTGTCAGTAACTCCCCTTCTCCTCCTCCTCCTCCTCCTCAACTACGATGGACGGAGACCGACATGAAAAACAAGCGCCTGTCGCTCCACCGTTAGGAGAGGTGCCATTCTTTACGACGCCGTGTAAAAAAGAGGTGGGGGAGTTTGCAGTGCGCTGTTGAAGCTGCGGGACATGTGAAGTTGACCGCTGCCGCATCTCCTGTTGCGCTGCCAACTCCATCTTTCGCAGCTCCACCCTTCTGCATGCTTCCTTCGTGTTTGGCACCACCGCAAGCTCTTCGCAGCGCCGCAACGCAGCGAGGAAAACATCGCGCTCCAGGACCAACTGCTCCACCTCAAGAGGGGTCTGCGGTATCGACTCGAATAAATTCGAGAGTTTCGAAAGCGTTTGCTGCAGGTGTTGGCACCGCTCCTCAAGATCCGCGTTCTCGTCTTGAAGGATGACGACCGCATCGTCCCTCTTGCGCAGTTGAAGGTCCAACCACTCCAACCCACGCAGACGCTCCAAGATGACATCGAGCCGTCGCTGAAGCGCACCGTTGATGCCGACCTTTCCTCTATCACTGCGTTCGCCTTCTGGGGAATCGCCCGTCCCCTCAACGAGGCCTAGTGGCCGCAGCAGCGCCTCCACCGCGTGGCGCATCTCCGCCTCGAGTTTGTCCAACAGATTCTCTTTTGTGCGCATGTGTTCCAGCTGTGACTGCGCGGCCTCCCACATCCCTTGCGTCTCGGATAATTTGAGCTGCAGTTTTGCCTGCTCCACCTCCTTCTCGTGCAGCAGCTCACGGGCCTTGGCAAGAGCGCCAGTCAACCTGCCCAATCGCGTCTCAAGATCATTCGCGTCCCGCCGCGCCAGCCTCAACTCTGCCTCCTTCTCCGCAACCGTGGCCTTCATTGCGGAACCTAATCCATTGGCCTCCGCGCCACGCTGGTCGCCAAATAAAGGTGTAAAACAAAAAGAGCCTGACGCTGCTCCATCTACTCGCATCTGCGCCATTTGTCGCTCCAACTTTTCTACGCGTGCGGCAAACTGTTCCGCCCTTCGTCCTGCATCCTCCAGTGCGAGCACTCCGTCAGCACGCTGTCGCTCCTTCGTCTCGACATCCTGCTGAAGCCGTGTGATCGTCTTCAGTAGACTGCCCAGGCCCTCATTCATCTGCTCTGCGGAGACAACAGAGGCCTGTTGACTGGCATGAACTTCCTCCTTCAGCCGCATTAACTTATTCCGCAGAAACGTGTTCTGCCGTCGCAATCCCTCCACAGCGTCCTCAGTTTCTCCACCGCCATGCAACCTTCTTCCGGGGTCTAACGTTCCCCCCTCTTCCTTTAGTTTCACGGAAGAAACACTCGGACGTGTTGCGACATCACCACCCTCCGTCCTCAGCTGACGTAACTCTTCTCTTGCAGACATTAGCTCCTCCTCCAGCTCCTTCACACGGCGATCGTAAAGCCGCCGAATCGCCTCCTTCACGACCTCCAGAGGTATATTCTGCGGAGAGGCCACTGCTGTAGCTGCATTCGTCGAAATGCTCTCCTCGTTTCGGGCATCTGCCAACGTCTGTAGAAGCCGATTGTGCTCGTCCGACAGGGAGCTGAGCTTCAGCTGCAGTGAGGCATTCATTCCCTCGGCGTTCATGAGCATCTCCCTCATGGCATTCCGCTCCTGCAGAAGACGGGCCAACTGATGCGCCTTGGAAACCTCATCCTCACGGGTCTTACTGTCCATTTCGCTGCTGGCAAGGCCAGACATGACTGCATGCGCCGCACCGTCCTCTGGCAGAGCCGCAGACAAAAAAGACGACGGTGAACACGTGCTGGCAATTTGCACATCGCGCCGTGCCCGTTCCACAAGTGCCAGAAGCTCAGGAAGGGCGCCGTCCTTTCCCCCCGGCCACGTCGGCATTTCCCCCTCGCCGTGTTGCTCCCGCAGCGCCCTCTCAGCGAACATTTGAATTTGCTCAAGGCTCGACGTGGTGGCGTTCACCAAAAAAAAAAATCGCCGCTGAAGAGCCGTCAATTCTTCGTGTTGTTTGTTCATATTCTCATTGCGGGAGGAGGTGCCACTTTCATTGGTGTGCCTCATTGGCGCCGCGTCTCCCAATTTACCCTCTCCTCCTGAATGAATTAAAAAAAAAAGAAAAAGAAAAAAGGGCGCAAAATAAATAAAATCCAAATAACAGGCAAAGACATCCCCTAAAACCACATTCACGTGCGTCATTCATTTCAAAAGAAACAAAACAACAAAAAAAAGAGAATTACCTCAACGGCTGCTGCTAAATCAGCCAAAAAAAGAAAACGTAAAACAAAGGCATAAAAAAAAAAAAACATGAAAGCAACAAGCAGCCCACGCAATCCGGCCAATACATCAACGGTTGGTGCGGCTCAAAGACAAAAACACACAAAACAAAAAAAATTGTCCACAAATAACAAAACTTATAGCAACATTTTACTTGCGGATGAGCGGCTTCTTTGGGCCCCACACACAAAAACACAGAACTGCCCTAAAACTTCACAACGAGACAGGCCCCAAAGAGACTGCGGATGGGAAGGCGAAAAAAAATATCGAACGTTTTACTGTAATTCCACCACGCCCTGCTAATGATCCATCCAAGAAAAGTAAAACTACACGCATGAACAAATTTCACCTGGAAATTCGCAGACCAACTACTCGTCATCTTTCACGTTCCTCCTACTGGCTTCCAAGAGCGTCACTAAAATCAAAAACCTGCCATAGGCAAATATATACATCTTCTATTGAACATGATTTCTTCAGGTTAAAACAAGGGACAGTCCACACCACCTCCTTTCAATTTCCATCAGCTTTTTTTCACGCTGATGATACTCTTTAGTACGGCACATAAGGCTTTGTTGAGCGGCGCAATTCTGCGGACCACTCCGCCAAAGTACGGCGGTCACCTGAACGTTTTTCCAAAAACTGGCCCATATCAGCCTGTTTCATGTACACCTGGTCGGAATCCGCATCGCCCTTGTACGCCTGGCCCATATCAGCCTGTTTCATGTACACCTGTTCGGAATCCGCATCGCCCTTGTACGCCTGGCCCATATCAGCCTGTTTCATGTACTCCTGTTCGGAATCCACATCGCCCTTGTACGCCTGACCCATATCAGCCTGTTTCATGTACGCCTGGTCGGAATCCGCATCGCCCTTGTACGCCTGGCCCATATCAGTGCGTTTCATGTACGCCTGGTCGGAATCCGCATCGCCCTTGTACGCCTGACCCATATCAGTGCGTTTCATGTACGTCTGGTCGGAATCCGCATCGCCCTTGTACGCCTGACCCATATCAGTGCGTTTCATGTACGCCTGGTCGGAATCCGCATCGCCCTTGTACGCCTGACCCATATCAGTGCGTTTCATGTACGCCTGGTCGGAATCCGCATCGCCCTTGTACGCCTGACCCATATCAGCCTGTTTCATGTACGCCTGGGCAGAAACAAAAGGTAATCGGCCTGATTCCGTGTTCGCCATCCCTAAAAAGGGAACCCCATCCTCTTCAAACCTTATACTGGTTGATTTTCCCAGTCGAGGAGGCTTCTCTCGCAAATCGCCCTCCTGAAAGGAGGTAGACCTTCCATTGTTAGTCGCAATCAAAGTTCTCTTCTCCGTGGACCCTGACACTTTCGATCGCAACAATGTAAGGATGCTTTTCCTAGACCTCCAGCGGTTTTTGTCCCAGTTGATGCTGTTTGTGGAAATCCGCCGGTTTTCCCCCTCGTTTGCGTCACCTATTACGCTGCTTTTGTCCTGTCGCGTCGCTGCCTTGCCGCGTCGTTCCTTTGCCCGGTGGTTTTGATCCAAACCCTCCCGCCACAAACGAGTGACGCCGTTTTCTTCTTCGCGGCGAACTATGGGGACGTCCTCGCCTCGGGCCAGCATGATATCGTTCGCGTAATTCATCAGGGTGACATCTAAGGCGGAAATACTCTTCCATTCTGGTTTTTTCTCCTTCCGTCGCCGCGGCAAAGTCCAAGTTGAGGTAAAACCTTCTGTATTATTCAGTGTGAGGTTCCCATGGACGTAATTCATGGATGCCTCCTGCAGCGACGGGAGCAAAGGGCCTGAATAAAGCGCATCAATGAGAGTAGGCACCTTGTGCTCTCTCCACAGAAACGGTTTTCGTGCGGCAGTTCGGAACTCAACACGGTCCGCCTCCTTTTCCGCCAATTTCAAACCACACTCCTTGCGAAGCACGTTGGCTCCTGCAAACGGCTCCACTCGTTTGAATTGAGACAGCTGCTTAACTTGTTTCCTGTGTTCCCTCTTGTACCACTGGTCAAGTTGCTTCGCTGTATCCACGGAGGGCTTTACATCTATCAGTTGTCTCATGATGATCAGATTCTGCCTTTGTTTATCTGCCTCTTGAACCCCACGGACCCGCTGCCGCGCCCTCGCCTGTTCATCCGCACGAAACCACCTACGTAGCTCCTCTTCCGATGGACGGTTGTTCATTCCCCGACGCTCTCGGTACTTATCTTCGTTCACGTCAAGAATACGATCCAGCAGGTTTTTGTTCGTTTTCACAATACGCTTCTCTTCATCCAAAACACGACGCTGCAAACGAGTCATCAGCGCGCATGCTTTCGTCTGCTCTCTGTCCATCAACTCCGGATGGCGGAAGTCCACTTCGGGCGCGTCGGCAATGCCTTTGCCAGGCCGCAATCGTGCCTCTGCAAGCCGGTGGGCATGCCACAGATGCGATATCCCTGCATCCCTCTCACTTTGCTCCAAATAATACTGGTGCTGAAACAGACGGTATTGGGGACTTACAGGCATGTGCTCACGCGTGTCGTGTCAGACGCAAACACAGCACGGCGCAACCCACGCCCTCCTACTCAACCAAAATCTCCGGCGTAAAAGAAAGAAAGAAAGAAAGAAAAAAAGAATCCAGGCGGGTGCAAAAAAGATAATAATAATAATGAAAGTCTCTTTGAAGAGCCCAATCAAAACAAGCACACACAAAGGCAAAAAAAAAAAAAAAAAGGAAAAATGGCCTGCCCTTGTGAAAAGGAAACCAACACACATGCCCACATTGAAACGAAAAGCCCATTCCAGCGGTAATCCTAATGGTCCCCCTACACCCGCTGTGCGCAACGCACAAATCCGGCAGGCGTGACCACAGCGTCCAGAGGGGAATCCCGAGTGCCACCCTTTGACGGGTCATGCGTGCAAACAGGCAAAGTACTCCCCTCTGGCATCAATTGCATCTCCATACCGACACCCCATGGCACCACCGCATCTGCCGCCGCTTCCCGACTGTATTGGAGAAATCGATCGTAGTAGCCTCCGCCCTTTCCAAGCCTGCCACCAATGCTGTCAAACAAAACACCGGGTGCCAACACCAGCATCCATCCAGGGTTTTCCGAGCCGACCAAAAGCCGCTTCTGTTCAATTAAATTAGCGGGCTTTTCGCACTCTGGAAACAACACATCGTAATCATCGCATGCGATAAAATGACGAGGGTAATAATCCTTTTCGCTTCTTGCACCCACGTCTGTGCAGAAAAGCTCGTCTATGACCTCACTTTTTGGTTCCGTCAGTTGGTATCGACCACGCTTCTCAAACGAGTTCTTCAGGTCTTCCTCATCAAAGACTTCAACAAGCAACATGGCACTCGAAAACCGTGCCGCAGCCGTTTCCCATGGCCGCTGCCATAACGGAATAGAGGTGGTGGTGGCGACATTGGAACCCTCCCACGGCGAAAGCACCAGTGGAACAAATATCTTAATATTAGGCACGTCCACACTCTGCATCTCTCGCCAAAGACGGCGGAAAAGCGGTTGGAGGTCTACCTCATAGTAAAGAGGCAAAAAGGCGCAAAGAAGCAGCAATGATTTTGCTGGCCGTAATTTTCTCAGTGCTTGAACGCGTTCGTACAATATTGAGCACAGTTTTGCAGACTCACTTTGCATAAATGCGGTATCACTTTTTGCAATTGCACGTAGTTGATGAAGATGCTTTTTTCGAAGACAAGCCTTGACATCAGAAAAATCCCTCATTACATGCCTCACCAATTCTCCCTGAATCCTATACAGAGCTGTGATGAAGCAAAAATAAATAAATACAAGGTTGTGGAAGTACTGCCAAGTGTTCACATTGCATGGTGTTGGAATCGGCAACAAAATGGGCCCCCTAAAAAAAAAAAAAAAAAAAGAACAGCGGCAATTATTTGTCGCTTGCTCCCTCTCTCCCTCTCTCTTCACTGAAGCAACAGAAAACACCGCAAGCGCATACAGACGCACACAGACACATGCATATATATATATATATATATATATGGCTCCTTTCGTTTTCTCTTGATTGAAGAAGCTTTTGCCTGTGTTACACGGCGTGTGTTACTGAGCCCGTGCCTCGCTCCATCAGAAACTCAAAATAGGACCTGAGCATCTCAGCTTCTTCGCTCATCTGCTTCCCTGTACGACAGGGCTGTCGCTGCTGCACCTCCTCATCCTCTGGCTCCCCGGCAAGTTTTCCACATGGATCAAATGGTATGACGTGTGTATGGAGATGGGGCACCGTCTGTCCAGCGAGTGTTCCCTGCTGGATGGCAATACTGAAGCCACCCTCCATGTCATCATTGCAGTGAGAAGAGTCGCTAGGTGTATTCCCACTATTCTTGTGTCTTGCAGCTGCTACCTGTTTCAACACACGTATTGTTAGGTGCATGACGCGGCCCCAATCCTCCACCTCATCTAGCGTCAGCCCGTGGATTGTCCCGACACAACGGATGGGCACCACCATCAGATGTCCGGGCACAATAGGCTTTTGGTTCACCATAACAACAAAGTAGCGCGAGCGGTACGGGATGCAGTCCGAGATGACGACACGGTGAGGAAAGAAGTTAAAGATGGGTTCGTCAGTATCATCATGCTTGCCGTCATTAGCTACAACATGTGGAAACCCAGCAAGAAATACCCGCTCATTTTGTATCGTTTTTTCCATGGCGAGAGCATTTTGTATCAAGGGATCCTTTCCGACGTCATCTGCATCACACCCAATGCAGCTCACAGTCGTCTCTCCCTCTTTCTCCTCTTCTTCTTGCAGATGCAGCAACCAGGAAAAAAAATCCACCGCACCCTCATTGGTCGCTATCGCCCCACTCGACGGAACCACGTACCGTCGCTGTAGCTCGTGGTAAATCATGTTATTTGGGAAAAAGTCACCGACCGTCCTTTCAACAATGTGCATAAACGCCGAAT